GGGGGGCGGAGCCGCCCGAGCGCGGCGCGCACGTCGACTTCCGCTTTCCCCAGCGCGCAGCTCGCGCCAAAGAGAGCTGTCCGGCGCCTGGGCCTGGGAGAAGGCGTGGCTGATGTCAGATCCTCTTCTCTGATTGGTTCTCTGGGAACCAACCCCGGCTATGCGCGAAAGAAGTCTCAGCTGCTCGCCTGCGCAGTTAAGACGAATGAGTCGCAGGTGAGGGAAGCCGCGGCGGAGGTACTGCGCGTGCGCAGACCTGGGAATCACCCTCTTCTGCGGTGATTCCGGCTCCCCTGGACCCTGCAGGCTGAAGGCCCAGTTGAGACCAGGTAAGCGTCGGCGGAGAAGCCAGGCACTCCTATGGCTGCTCACGAATAGAAAGAGGCTCGGAGGCCTGGACGCCGGAGTTTTTCCCGGCTTGCGATCCCGAGTCGCGCAACCACTTTTACCTGTGGCCCCCGCGGGCGACGAGGTGGAGCCGGCCCTGGTACTTGAACTAAGATGTCTCTGGTTACTTTTGGGAGTCCGTCCGGGGGCTCCTCGGGCACTCGGTGCGGGAGGGGTAGTTAGAGGAGAGCGACCACGACCTGCAGAAAACTGTCACGGAGGCCCGGGGGGAAATAGGACGGTCAGATGCTGCTTTAGGCCCAGCCCCTAGTAGGTGTCAGCACTGCTCTTGTGAGGCCGTTGGAAGGACCTGAGAACCCGCTTCCCTCCCTGCGGGCTCCCAGCTCGTCCCACACGCACTGTTCTGTCCACACCCTTCAGCCTAGGTAACCTTTAGGGTACCTCCCGCTCTTCGGTTTCCTTTAAGTGTCCCGACCCGCGCGGTAATAGGACTTCTCAGGCTCAAAGTATGGCGCTGAGAAGCCAGAACACAGGAGATGTATTTGCCCTTGGAGTGACAGATCTGCTAGGAGGACTCCGTGTCATCTGAGCCTCCTAGGCCACCAAATTCTTTTTCAATAGTAAAAATTCAATCTCAGGGACCAGCAGTTGGTGTAATGGCCATGTCGCTGGACTCCCATGTAGTCGACCCAGGTTGGAGTCCCGGACCCCGCGGCTTAAACTCCCGCTGGGCACGTGTGCGTACGTGCCCAAGATCCCGAGAGGAGAATGGAGAAGGGATTGCGGCGTGGCCATCCCCCCTGGGGGGGGGGTGATTTCTAACTTTCTCTCTGTCTCTCTCTGTCTGGCGAGTGCACGCACTCTATAGCAAAAACCTCTAAAAAAAAAAAAATTCAATCTCATCCAAAACCTAGTCAGTGTGTGTAAGATACTGTGCTTATGTAAATCAAAACCTACCCACTCTAATTGGGTTAATCCACCTTTCAGTATTATGCTCATGGAACACCTAGCCAAAACCAAATTATTTTTAAGTACACAGGTATGTTTCCAGTGGCCATACTTCAAGTCCCCCAGAGAACATTAATTTTATCACTAATTTCCATGGCTCACAGGATTTATTATGTGAGACACTATAGACTCCTAACACTCAGAGAATTGAGAAGTGTGAGTTCCTGAAACAGGTCTAGCAGAGAAGTACGTTTCCGTACAAGAAAAATAGTGACCCCCAAAATGAGTGCTAATAATTAGTTATTAACCAGCAAGCGGCACTGATCATTGTTTCTGACTACGAGCTGGAATGTGCAGTGTGCACTTTAGACATGTGTATTCTGGCGGTTGGATGGTGTGATTTATGTAAGTGTGTGTGTGTTAATGCCCTCATAAGCCTGCATGTTCAGCACCTAGTACTTTAACAGTTACTGGCTAGCTCACCAACGTGGTGACATTTTTCCGTAAGGTTGCTTACACCATGGTTAGGTTTTCCTCTTTGCTAGGCTCTTAGTTTTAAAAATGAAGGCCTGGAGCCAGCAGGTGACATGGAAGTTAAGGAGCTGGATTGCACATGGCCAGCAGTTTAAGTTCCAGTCACAGCAACTTGACAATTGCATGGGGTGTGGTACGTGCATGCCCAAAATCCTGAAAGGAGAATGGAGACGGGATTGTGGCATGGCTGTCCCCCAGGGGGTGAGTTCTCACTTGCCCCCACTCTCTCCCTGTCTTTCTCTGGCAAGTGCACGTGCCCTATAGCAAAAATAAACACATAAATTCAGGCCCATTTACAGTGATGTGTGCGGGTCACCTCTGGAGAGCAGCCAATCCGTAGACACATGCAGATACGCGCTTCCGGGAGCTACTCTAGCAGGGCTATTGAGAAGCATCTACATAGGAAAGCAGTGCCTGCCTGTTGTCAATAGTTGTCTTCCTGTTGTTGGTACGCTGTTCCTCGGCTGACCCAGGGAGCATGGGAGGCCTGGCTGGAGGCCTGGGTCGACTCCTGGCCCTCCCTCACAAGCCAGGGTGGTTTTATGTGCCTGTGGTCTCCGCTACTGAGGTGGCTAGGTGGGAGGACCGCAACATGGAGACCCTATCTAAAAATAAACTCAGTGGTAATTGTCGTTGACTGATAGCACTGGACCGGAGAAATGTCTTTTCCCAAGATTCATAACAGCTGAAAATGTAATATTTAAAGTCCAAAGAATTATTTCTGAGTATTGAAAATGGACATAGATCGGCTCCAAAACTCAAGCAAACGCGTTAAGTATAAAAACTGTGTCATCTAACCAGCCGCCTCCTCCACACTAGAGAGTTCGGGTCCAGGGCCTTTACGGTGGGCGGTTACCTTCTCGCTCGCTCGGTTATAAAGTCGAGTTGCTCAAGCACTGTCTGGACGGCTTCAATGTGCCAGTCTAGACTGGAGATCGGGCTATTCAGTAATAGTGGCTGGACGTGGCTGGAGGCATTTAGTGTCTGTTAACCGGGCTAGGATTTGGTGTTCTTGATTTTTACATCCAAAGTTTGTCATTTTGGAGGGCCTTCTCTGGAGCAAAGAATGAGAAGCAATAAAACTTTTTTACAGAGAAATTTTTTGCTATAGGGTGCGTGTACTTGCCAGAGAGACAGAGAACGAGAAATCATCCCCCCCCCAGAGGGGATGGCCACACTGCAGTCCCTTCTCCTCTGTTTTCCTCTCGAGATTTTGGGCACGCACATACTTGTGCCCAGCATTAGTTTTAAGCTGGCAGGTCCAGGACTGAAACCACGGGCGACTATGTGGGAGTCCAGCAGCGTAGCCATCATGCCATCTGCTGGCCCCGAGAAGCAATCCAACTGTAAATGCATAGTTCTCCCATCAAACCTGGAAGGAAATGATCACGTTTACATTTAAGTTGTCTTCCCTTTCCCGTTATTTATGTTTAAACTGGGACTTACTTCAGTGATGGTGGCTCTACCCATGCCAGCCTGCGGGAAGCCAGGCTGTAGTTTTGGCACAATGGTCTCCTTGGCACCACATTTCACAGACCAGAATTATGATGTCACCAAATAGCATGCCTTCGATAATTTAATGGTTTCCGAGAGACAGAGAACGAGAAATCATCCCCCCCCCAGAGGGGATGGCCACACTGCAGTCCCTTCTCCTCTGTTTTCCTCTCGAGATTTTGGGCACGCACATACTTGTGCCCAGCATTAGTTTTAAGCTGGCAGGTCCAGGACTGAAACCACGGGCGACTATGTGGGAGTCCAGCAGCGTAGCCATCATGCCATCTGCTGGCCCCGAGAAGCAATCCAACTGTAAATGCATAGTTCTCCCATCAAACCTGGAAGGAAATGATCACGTTTACATTTAAGTTGTCTTCCCTTTCCCGTTATTTATGTTTAAACTGGGACTTACTTCAGTGATGGTGGCTCTACCCATGCCAGCCTGCGGGAAGCCAGGCTGTAGTTTTGGCACAATGGTCTCCTTGGCACCACATTTCACAGACCAGAATTATGATGTCACCAAATAGCATGCCTTCGATAATTTAATGGTTTCCAGGTCCTTTTTTTAAAAAAATATTTATTATTATTATTTTAATTTGATTTAGGACACATGTGCTCACCAGAGAGAGAGAGAGAGAGAGAGAGAGAGAGAGGGGGAAAGTGAGAAAGCAAGCCACCAGGTCCAGCACTTGAATTGCAGTTGAGCATGTGAAGTTCCAGCACCTTAACCACCACGCTACCTGCTGCCCCTCCAAGTACTTCTTAAATTGGACCCTGCCAAGTGAAACAGTTTACTGGGCACTGCCCGAGATGCCTTTTCACTCTGAGCTCTAGAACAAGAGCCCGTGACCTCAGCAGTTCACAGAGTGGGTTTGTGCCCTAAGACCGCAGCTTACGGGGCACGTTGGAGGCCCCTCGGCTCTGCAGGGTAGGGGTCCACGCTCCCATTTAATGACACTAAGGGCTGTACCTGTAACCGGTAGGGAGTGGTGGAAGTAGGGGCCGATGATGCCATGGTAAAACGCCATACTGTACAGGGCCAGCCCATATGGGAGGTTTAGGGTTTGCCACCAAAGGCCTGAGTACGCTGGGGTGGATGTACACGGGTGTGGCCACGGTCTGGGCTGGCTGAAGCTGGGGAGAGCTCGGCATCAAGACCTTGTGGAGGACGTTGTCTCTCTCTTCTCTCCTTGAAGAAATAAAATGGGTTCGAGTAGTTTCCTTGGATGCAGCACACCGCCGAAATCCATGCATGCTATTTCCCATGTCCCATGTGCTTTCTGAAGAGCTCCCTCTTTATATGGTTCTGTTGTCACCCTCGGGGGCCAACGTGAGACATCGAGTGCGGGTCATGCCGACTGCTCTGCACTGTGGCCTTTTGGGACAAAAATTGAGAAAAATCAAAAAGAGGAGCTCGCGTGTGTAAGGACCTGGGAGGTGGATCTGGAGATACCGTGAAAGGAGACGCAGCAAGCTGTGGAAAGGATAGATGTCTCAGTAACTGAACCCTGATGGGCTTCGGAGGCCAGTCTTCCCGAGACAGCCCGTGTCGTACGCACCCCGGACTTCATCGTTCTCGGACCATGATGCATTTGAAGGTGCTTTGGAAACACTTAAGCCCTAAACAGCGGCATGGTTCGTGGTGAAACAGGCTTTGAGACATTTAGAAGAAAGTGTAGAGTGTTATTACTGCTATTTGTATGTGTTTCTGTTTTATTTTAATAGTGTAGTCGATCGATTGTGTAGTTCCTGTGAGATGCCGTAAATAGAAAACCGCCGTGATGTTAACCAGCCCGACAAGTGAGGTCCTCCGTGGACTCGGTTTCCTGTTTCAGGAAGGCGGCGACGTTGCCGTTATGTGGACTGAACGTCTCCCTTCATCTCCTTCATGAGCTGTCTTTGAGCTCCACTGCAGGAAACCGGTTACATTCAGACCACACGCAGAGGGGGCTCCTTTTTCTCTTGTCCTCCCTAAGTCAGAAGATAAGAGCTCTGCATTTCCTGCCCAACCTAGTATGCTTTCCTGTTTGGAAACACTAACAACAAACACAAACAAAAAGCCGCCTCACCGCACTGGGGGAAGCTGTATCTCCATCTTCCAAGCCTAGGACGTGACATGGTCTCTTTGGAGCCTGACTCGCAGTACTCAGTGCTTCCATTGGAGAGGGGTTTGAGCCTGCGTGAGGCCTCAGGCATCTGGCGAGCTCCAGAGTGAAAGGAAGATGAAGGCTGCTTTCACCTACTCCTCCGTTTGCAGGGAGCTCTAAAGTACACTTTTGAATCAGGAATTACTGTTAAGCATTGCTGAGCTCCTTCTCCTCTCACGGAGGTCTGGCGCCATCAGCTGGCGGTTTAGTTCCCCGTCTGCTCACGCTCTGCTGGGTCCTTAGCCACTTCCTAGGTCTTGTTTTGAGACCTGTGTTTCATCTTACTGCGGAAGGGGACGTAACACTGAATAGGCAGGTAAGGAGCACTCCTCATTTCTGGGCTCAGCTTTTTTTTTTTTTTTTTTTTTTGAGAGGGTTGTTATAAGGCGTGTGCGCTCGCTAGACAGAGACAGAGAGATAGAAAGTGAGAAATCACCCCCTGGGGGGGGATGGTCACGCCGCAATCCCTTCTCCTCCATTCTCCTCTCGGGATCTTGGGCACGCACGCACACGTACCCAGCGTGAGTTTTAAGCCACCGGGCCCAGGACTCGAACCACGGTCGACTAAGTGGGAGTCCAGCGACATAGCCATTACACCAACTGCTGGCTCCCCAAAATAATTCTTAAAAAAAAAAATTTAATGCTGAATTTTAGACAGATGGCATCCAGAAGGCAGTCCAGAGAGCTAAGTCTGTGCTTTCCTGAATGCCGCTCCATATCAAAGGGGTCCTTCCTCCCCTTCATGCCCCAGGAAAGTCCCGTCCTCTCCGCTCCCTCCAGAGTAGCAGCGCCGTCCACCCACAAGCATGTCTGTGACTGTCTGCGCCCTGAGACCTGGATGCAGAGCTGAAGCCAGCCCCACTGCCAGCTGTCTTCCTGGTTTGGGTCCTCGGTACAGGGGGACTGCTAGCTGGATCCAGTGATGAGGGGGCGCTCCTATTAGAATGCAGGGCCCAGATCAGAACCGAGCACTCCAGCGGACTCGGGCAGGTCAGAATCAGACCCACTGCTGTGTGTATAGCATGTACCCATTTTTTTTTTAATTTCAAGAATTATTTTATTTAAATGTATGTATTTATTTTAATTTGACCAGAGAAGGACAGAGCAAGAGAGAGAGACAGAAAGTGAGATAGCAGGTTGCCAGGTCCAGGACTCAAACCACTGTCAGCCAAGTGGGAGTCCAGCGCCCTTATCCACCACACCACCTGCCGGCCCCTGTACCATATTTATTAATGCTCCTCGGGCTCCCTTGAGGCCCATGCATGACACTCAGTAGATGTTTAAAATACTCATTGAACAGACGGGTATTTGTTACTCATTTGTTACTCGGATCTGGTTAAAGTCCTCAGACTTGTTATCTCTGAAGCCGAGGGAATGGAAAGGGATTAGACCTCGAGCGGGGCTTTAACCCGAACCTCGACCTGCTGCTCAAGGCCATTGTCACAGCGAAAGGAGAGGCGAGGCAGCCCCAAATGAAAGCTTGCCCCCACCGAGAGGCAGCAGGTCCCCCTGACTTCTTTTTCGCCATTGTTCTTGTTCTCGTTGAATGTCACAATGGGCATTATATATTCTGAAGCGCTTTCACTGTTCCCCAAAGACTTTGGGTTGCTCTCTGGGTATCACAAAAGCCGAAATCCAAGCTGCACTCTTTGGGCTTTGGGGAAGTGGAACCTTGGGTGCCATTGTCATTTCTAATGTCACTGGGGTAGGGCCGGAGCAGCAGGAGAGACCCAGAGCGCCAGCTCTCCTGATTGGCTGCTGGAAGTGGCTGGCGAGGAAGCCCAGGGGCCTTCTTGAGCTGCAACTGGGTGGGGGCCTTCCAGTGTCTGTCGCTCTGAACTGGGACAGAAAGACCGAGACTGGAAACGGGCCGTGACGGCGGCTGATGACAGCTCTCCTCTCTGTCACCGCCTGTCTGCCAGCGCTGCCCTGCACGGTCAGGTTTACTAGTCAGCGGAAGAGAAACCCCAAGGAGGCTCAGCTCGGGTTCCGTGTCTACTCTAACGCCCGGATTCGCGGCTGCTCATACACAAAGGCTTTCTGTCCTGTGCACTAAAAGCAGAAATAGGGAAGGGGGACTGGGGACACCGAGGCCTTTCTCTTAGCTGTTCCTATGCGAGCTGGAGCCTTGCTGTGGAGTTCAGCAAAGTACCTGGGTTTCTCTTTTCATGGGATTCTTCTAGAACATCTCACACCCACCGAGCCCATTTACAGCACTGCTCTCACTGGTGCCCTCCATTTCAGAATGTGTCCCTTGCCAGCCATGGTGCACCTTGCCAGTACCTTCTTAGCCCCTGTGGGGACTCAGAACACAGAACATCCTGAAAAGACAGGTCGTGGAATAGAAAGCCAGCGTCGGCCAGGGCCTGAAAAGCACACGATGTTTTGTCGTATTTATTTCCGATAGAAACAGCAGAGGCAGAGATAATGTGTTATTGTCATTCTAAAGATGACTGGTGGCCCAGCCATGGTGACACACGCTCTGCAGCACTGGAAGCCGTGGGGATGCTCGGGCTCAGTTCCTGCATGTCCCTGGGCATGCGTGCCGTGTTCCTGGCTCCCAGGAAGCCCAGGGTGGTACTCTGGCATGGGACCCTGCTGAAGGTGCTTGTTTTCCTCCTCCTCTCTCAAAATAAACGTAGGAAGTAAAAAAAGACCAGTGCCATGTTGGTACCGGCACACTAATTACTAGGAGAGAAGTAACTGGTACCTTTTTTCTCGGCCACAGAGTGTGTTCAGAGGAGAGAGCTGACCCGAAGATGGCCATGCTGCAGCCCCTCTCCATTCTCGGGATTCAGCCACACACACACATGCACGTGGAGGGATCTTCAAGCTGGGCCCAGGACTTGAACCATGTCGGTAGCCATGCGGGATCCAGCTCCCTTAACCTCTGCGCCACCAGCTAGCCCGGTTTCCTTTCAAGATTTTTTATTTAAATTTCTTCTGTGAGAGCGAGAGACAGAGAGACAGGGACCTCCAGCAGAGCTGTCCCACTAGGGTCCCACAGCCTTCCAGCTGTCCCAGGTCATTAGCTGGCACAGCCGTGGGCACAGCTGGCGTATCTGGGTTGCCTAGGACCCAGCCCCCGGCCTTCTTGTACGGCTCCAGCGCAGCGGTACCCCGCCCGGCGCCGTAAGAGGACACCAGGTTTCCAAGGAAGTGCTGCCTGCAGGGTTTTGTCACTGGGCTGTCCCTCGGTGCTTGCCTAGGGCTCTGGGTGGGCTCAGGCCACGTGAGCAACCAGGCCGACCGCGGGAAGGAGGGCAGGGCTGAGTGCCAGACCTGGGCAGGATCCGGTGAGTGTCCAGTGGCCTCAGAGCTGGCGGCCCCTACGGCAGAGCCCAGTGGAGTGACGAATTTACAGGCTAAAGGGTGAAGGTGCTGTTCAGAGGAGGAGCCGCTGGACGAGCAGCACCTCTGCTCCGTGCCGCGTGAGCCTGGTGAAGACTGAGTGAGTGGCACGTTTCCCTGGTGTTCCCACCGTCCACCCACTGACAGTGTTGCCAAAAGCCAACCCTGGGCTAACCGGAGCCCCTTCCAGAATTTATTTCCCTCCTGTAATCGTTTAAGCCTCTGTGGGATGGGCAAAAAAGGTCTAATTCACCCTTTTCCTGGTAAGAAAGCAGGCCCAAGTTGTGACCTGCCCTGTTCACGTGAGAGACTTTTCATTATTATATATATATAT